AGGCTATTTGGACGGGCAGAAGAAAGAACCCAAAATAGGGAGTGCTGAATATGCTGTTTGGAGAAGAGAGAATGCTACAGTCATGTCYTGGCTGCTTGCTTCAATGACTCCCAGGGTAGCTAGGACGGTTCAACACTTCTCCACAGCTGCCAAGATATGGGAGGTGTCTAAGACCTATGGGCAGAAAAAGAATAATGCCGGAATCTATAGACTGAATCAAGATATTGCTGCCCTGAAGCAGGGAGACATGCCCGAACACATCACTCTCCTCTCTTCTTCTTCCTCTTCTTCTTCTTATCAGCTCTCTCAACAGGTTCAGTTCGGCAAACATAGTGGGTTCTTGGAAAACATCCGGATAGGCTCGAAGTAGTAATTGGAGTTGCTGGGTTTGGTCAGGGGCTGGGTTATTACTTCTTGTGGTTGGAGTGGGCCCTGCATGCATTGAGCCCATACTCAGCAGCAAGGGTGTTGAGTCATGTTGGCAAGCCTTGAAGACGGCTTCCAAACTTCCTGCAGCTATGGGCTGAGCTTTAACCCCCTTCAGTGTACAAGGTTTACCATCATGGGTGAACTGCATGGTCAACTCAGTCTAGTCGCGCACCACTGGGCCCAACAATTGTAGCCATTGTATGCCCAGGACAATATCATCCTCTGTGAACTCTAATGGATGTAGGTCCACCTTAAATCGGTACCCCTGAATCCCCAACTCCACCGCCTTGCACCTCCTATCACAGGTTATTTGGTGGCCATTTGCCACGTTTATAGCAAATTGGGAAACCGTTTCCACTGCTAACCCGAGTCGATCAGCCAACCGAGGAGTAATAAAGTTCAAGGAGCTCCCGCTGTCAATCAGGACAGCAATGCTCTTTCCTGCTATCAGACCCTTCACTCACATAGTCCTGGGGGCCCGATAACCCACCAAAGCCTGTAGGGATATGACGTAGTATTCCTCCTCCGGTACCACCTCCATCTTCTGTATACCCAGGTCTCCCATTTGGGTATCTGGTTCCTCTTCCCCTTCTACTTGTAGTAGGAACACTTGTTGGGCCTTGCATTTGTGGCCAGGGACAAACTTTTCGTCACAATTGTAGTAGAGACCTTTCTTTCTACGGGCCTGCATCTCGGTCCATGATAGTCTCCGGTATGGGAGGGTCATAGCTCTCGGCCTCCTATTCGGTGGGGCTGGTAAGGGAAAGGGTTTGTGGGGGTTGGTAGGAGAGGTCTTGGTTTTGGGTCAACCTTTGGGTAAGGACCTTTCTGATTCAGGCCCGCCTGAGGCCCATTTGGCCTCCCCAACTTCTGTAATTGGCCCAATCTTTCTTCCTAGAGCTTGGCCAGGCCCACTGCCACCATCAAGGTGGTCGGCTACATGGTGTTCACTTCAATTCTTATTTCATCCCTTAAGCTGCCTATGAAGCAACCCACCAGGGCTGTCTCCGGTCAGTCATGAACCCAGGTGGCTAACCTTTCAAAGTCCTTCTAATACTCTCTTACTGTACCAGTCTGCTTCACTCGGGAGAGTGATTCATTAAAGTTCTCATACCCTGAAGGCCTGAACCTCACATGTAATGCTTCGGTAAGGTCTAGCCATGTGGTCTAAGGGTGGGTTTTCCGATACCACTGGTACCACATAATGGCTTCGCCATCCATGTGTATGGCGGCAATGGAAACCATCTGATCTGCTGGGGTCTCATGGAAGTCAAAATAACGTTCAGCCCGGTAAATCCAGGGAATGGGATCATCACCTGAGTACATAGGAAAGTTGATCTTAGCAGCCTTGACTAGGTACTCTCCTCCTCACCGTACGTCGCTGTTGCTCGATCCTTCCACCTCTGGAGTTCTGGGTCCGACTGAGATTCGCTCGAACTGGCCTACCAGAGCTGAGAGAGTCTCCTTGATTTCACTTAACTCACTGGTGGTCTGGCGGACTTCCCCTTCTATACGATCAATATGTTCCTCTACCGATGAGGATCTGGTGGTCGACATCGTGGCTAGGCTCTGATACCATCTTTTAAGACCCTGCTCTATGTGGGTTGCCGATGAACTGGTTCGAGGGAGCTTGCCCTCCTGAAATAGATGAAATGGGGTTGAGAGAGAAGAGAGAAGAGAGGGAGAGAGGGAAAGAAAGAGA